AAGCGCTCAGTGCTGCTGTTGGCTCGAAAATGACGGGGGTTGGGGGAAAGGCTTAACTGCAAAGACATCTGGAGTTTTCTTTGTAAAGATGGGTGCCGATCCCGCCCCTCCCATCCCTCCACCTAGGGAAGTGGGCGTGGGAAAGCCCACTATCATCTCGGCTCTCTGAGCCACCGCCTAGTCGCACCCCTAGATCTGCGCTTTCGGAGGACGTGGGGTGGGACGCGTGGCGGGGTGGCGGGTAGAGGCGGGTACGGGCCTGCCAGAGGCTTGGCCATTCAAAGGATGGGAGCCCGACGCGCACGGAGGAGCTCTCTGAGAGAGCTGGGGCCGCGGGGCACCCTCGGCGCGACGAGTGACAGAAAATCCCGCAAGGACTCTGAAGAGGGACCTCAAGCAGCCTACATATCTCAGAGATGTCTTGGAAAAAATGCAGTGCGGGCCCTTCCCGCCCCAAACCAAATAAAGCTGCGGGTTTTCGGAAACCCTCAGCAGGGTGGCCCAGCTGAGCTGGCCCCAGCAGGAACAGCCCTGGGGGACCCTCAAGACACATTCCCTGCCGCTGCGCGTCTCTCGCTGAGGCTGCCCTCCTGGGGCTCAGGTTCCCGGGTGTCCGGTGTTTGGTGCCCTGAGCATCCTTTCCTTTCTGATCTGGTGTGTTTCTTAGCTTCCTCCAGCCAAGCACTGAGGCTTCGACCTGCACTGATGACTTTACCTTCCTAGGCCAATTTTCTCATTTAAAATGGGTGTTATAGTCCCTACCTTGCAAGTGATTAGTTCTTTTCCCCCCGTGTCCTCATTTGCTTCTTTTTAAAAATTGTTTATCAAATTCCATACCAGATGTGCATATTTGAGGTCTCCTCACCTCAGCCTTTTACCAACTTGCTCTTAATTCAAAAAAGGCTGACCTATTTATGAAGACTTTTCTTCAAATATGCAGATAGTTTGTTCCTTCCTTCTCCTCTCCTTCCCCTCCTTCCTCTATCCACCCACCTGGGAAAATTGATAAGCACAAATTCAGCAATTGTAACTTGAAAGGTCTGTACCTCTGTCTAATACACAGCAAACACTGAGTTAACTGGGTTTGAGCCAAGCTGTAACAAACCAGGTCCATGCAAATTAAAAGCAAAGTAAAAACTCCCATGATTTATTACTGATTAATTTCAATTTAAAGGCCTAAAGCTTAGGATTCACTTCCAAGTTGTTTAAAAAAAAAAAAAAGTGCCACAGACCAAATGAAAAGTGCATGTTTCTAGGGAGGGGGATGGGAGAGAGGGTCATTCGATGCTATCGGCCCCAATTTATAAAGGACTTCAGCCCTCATTTACACAGGACTTAATGGGAGAGGAGGCTTGTGGAAGGGAATGTGAAGGGCTGGCTTCCCACCCACAGGTCGCCATGGTGGCAGGGCCAGGCTTTTTGATGCCAGGTCAGCAGGCAAAGTGTCTTCAGGGTCACAGGGGCTGGTGGTGTGTGCACTCCCCAGGTCGGATGCCTCCTCTGGGCTATTTCTGTGATTCATGGCTCCAGAGCAGGTCCAGACAGGTGGGGAATGTAGTCAGTAGGAGAGCTGTGCGGAGTTGCCACCTTCTTGGACCCTCTGTTAAGGGGTTAGAGGTTCTGGAGACCCAGTGAGAGTAATGTGGCAGAAAGAGTAAAAAAAAAAAAAATGTGGGGGTGGCTGTGGGGTGGGGGCAAAAAGGAGCTGAGAGAAAGAGTGACTTGGTTCTGGTGAGTACCACCTTAGACCCTGCCCTGGGTCCTGTGCTTTGGAGGACCCTGTTTTGCCCGGCCCCCAGTGGCGCATGATCCACAAGGTGGGGAAATGGGGAAATCTGCTCATCTCAATTAGTGATTCTTAAAGTGGGATCCCAGACCAGCAGAATCAGCATTACCTGGGAACGGAGAAAAATGCAAATTCTGGGCTCCACAACAACCCCCTGGGGCCTGAGAGAAGTGAGAAGTTCTATTTCTAACAAGGGTGATGCTGTATGATGTGATGCTTATCTTGCAGATTTAGGGACGCTTATAGGTTTAGTGGCCTTGAAAGCTACTACTCTACTGTGGTACCCAAACCATAGAGCTCTTGCCCAAATAGCCCAGGGCCCCCTTTCAGGGCCCGGGCAGCTGCTTCATTGGGTCTGTCCTGCAGAGAGTGTATGGACACCAGTGAAACATGCCTGGGCAGCCCGGAACTGTGAGCAAGGGTGTCCACAGTCATGCAGGCATGGCTACTCAAGCTGTGGGATGGAGCTGGTATGGAAAGGGAAGAGGGCAGGTTACAGAATGAAGTCCCCATTTGCACTCTTTCCTTGAGCCCTGGAAAGATTACGAGCTGGCTGGTCTTGCTAGAAAGATCATCAGAAATCCCAAGGCTGCAGAATCAGCAGAGCCCTCTACAGATGCTTTCCTCTGTTCTGACCATTCTTGAGGACCAGAGAAATGTGACTTGGCCATACAGACTAACCATTATTAGCCCCCACTTTTTTAGAAAAAGTAAAAACAAAAGAAGGCTGATTTCTCCATGTTTCATGAGAGAGAAATAAATTACCCTTTACACCTTCCTATGCTCTCCAGCCAGTGACAAACTGTCTTAAGAGTTATGTAAGCAGAGATGGAAATGATTTCCTTCTGGCGTCCATGTTTTATTCCCAGCAAGGCCTGTGAATGTAATTTGGACTGTATCCCCCATCCCTCATACCCCAGCCATTGCTGGTTGCTTTTAAACTCTACTACCTGCACTCCCAATAGAGAGGCAATGGGGCAGTGGGGCTTAGTGGCTAAATGTTCCAACTCTGGAATTAAATAGACTTAAGTTTGGATCTCAACTTTTACCACTTACTAGCTGTCAGACTTCAGTAATCAACTTAATTTCTCCAAACCTTGGTTTTCCCGCCTGTAAAATGGGAACTATCTACCTCACAGAACTGGTCTGTGCTTGCAGATAAAGTAAGGATGAAAAATATGTCAGCCCTCACAATACTTAGCTGGTGCAGCAAATGCCTTCGGTTTGTCCCTCTCATCACATCCTTCGTTGGGGGAGAGAGAAATATGAGAGGCAAGAAAGTGAAGCCTAAGGCAATAGGTCCAGAGATCTGGGTGGTGGCTGAAGGTTGTCAGACGCAGGTTTCTTTAAAGGAGGAGAAGAAAGTGTGCTGAGTTCCCACTGATTTTAATGTGACCCTGGTCGGTTTGAAGGTCTTGGCTTCCATAAATCAACCGCCTCCAGCAGCTTTTCCCTCTTCACCTCTCTAACCCTTCCCACAGCTCCATCTCAGGTTGGGACATGTGCCTGAGAGTGAGGTAGCCTGCCCTGCAGGCAGCCCGTAGTGGGGACTGGGTTTGGCTGAGGCTCCAGGTCCAGTGCCCTGGGGCTACATCGGACAGGCAGTGAGGGTCTGACCGGGACCCAGTGACACTTTTACTGTTGAAATCGAACCAAACTTTACTAGCTTCTGGGGAAAGCTGGGGGCTTTGGGGATTTTTGTATTTGCTGGGTTGTAAATATTTTATGAGAAGGCAGCCCAGGAAAATCTGGTTAGCTTTCCGCCTTGCACACTGAAGTGGGGTTGGCTTCATGCACAAATGCGTCAAAAAAGAAGTCAAGTTTTGCCTTGGTCCCAAAGAATTCATCTTGGATCTTAAAAGCCTGTTATTCCCTGCACCTCCCCCCAATTATGTGCCCTAAATTTCTTTTTCTTATTTGTAACCAAAAATTTAATCTTCAAAAGATTAGTTCCAAAGCAAGATTTCAAGTTGGGTGGGTGGGTGGAGGGGAGAATGTCACTGTGTGTGTGTTTGAGGTTTTCTCCTGATGTATTTCTCATTGACTGCAGGGTCTTCTCAATGGATAGTTGCCTGGTGTGTGTGTGTGTGTGTGTGTTCTTTTGCCCCCCCCCCCCCCAGCAGACTTCTGAAAGCTTGGTTGCTCTTTTGTAGGTTGTTAAAATGGTTGGTGAATCTGAAAAAGGAAGCAAGCAAGCAAGCAAGCAAGCAATCCCAAAGCAGATCTTCATTCTGTCAGCTTTGTGCTGGGCCTAAATACTTCAGCAAAAGTGTCTAAGGGGCAGCAACGCTCCCCGAGACCAGGAGGTCTAACTAGGGCTGCATCTTCAAATCATCTTGGAGCTTAAAAACAAAAACAAAACCCAAAATGAACAAACAAAATCTAGCAAAAACCCAGTACCCAGGCTCTGTCCAGAGACCTTGTCTCAATTGGTTAAAGCAAGCCCTGGCACTGGTAATTTTTAAATTCTCTGGATGATTATAAGGGGCACCCAGAGTGAGAATAACTGGTCTGGAAGTTTCCACTTACTGACCAGCATGTACTCCAGGTCAGGCATGGCTGCGGTACGAAGGACAGGACATGGTCCTAGCTCCTATGGGCCGGTGGAGGCGGGGCAGGGTGTTGCTGGGAAAGACCACTAAGGAGACAAATAGAAACGAGGTCACCGTAGATAGTGCTAAGTGGGGTGAGATAATAAACCCGGGTCCTGTGATAGTGACCGAGGGAGGCTACTTTAGATCGGGGTGGTCGAAGATGGCCTCTCGGAGGAGGCGACATTTGGACCGAGACGTGAATGATGAGAACGACGAGCCAGTCAGCCGAAAGGAGGCCTGGGGGAAGCGCGGCCCGGGCCCACGACCACAAAGGGCACATTAGTGGTTACGCAGGCTCCTGGGGGAAAACCCGGGAGGCCGCCGCCGCAGCCGCCGCTCCAGCAGCCACCGACTTCCGCCCTGGGAGTCCCGGGCTGACCGGGGGGTGAGGGGGTGGTGCGGTGGGGGCGGGGGGGGGAGGCCTGCCCTGGTGCTCCCCCTCCCCTAGCTGCGCACGGGCCCGGGCGGGGAGCCGGGGTGGTCAGGCCCCGGGCTGGCCGAGCTGGACTCCCAGCCGGCCTGCCCCGCTGCCCGCCCTTTTCCTCCCGGGCGCGGCCGCAGAGCACCGGGCTGATCTCCCCCTTAAGTGAAACTGACTGTAATGATTTTTTATCTCGCAGACGATCTCTCGCACACTCCTCTCCGGAGACAGAAGTATTTGTTTGATGTGTCCACGCTCTCAGACAAAGAAGAGCTGGTGGGCGCGGAGCTGCGGCTCTTTCGCCAGGAGCCCGCAACGCCCTGGGGGCCACCGGCCGGGCCGCTCCACGTGCAGCTCTTCCCCTGCTTGTCGCCCCTGCTGCTGGACGCGCGGACCCTGGACCCGCAGGGGGCGCCCCGGGCCGGCTGGGAAGTCTTCGACGTGTGGCAGGGCCTGCGCCAGCAGCCCTGGAAGCAGCTGTGCTTGGAGCTGCGGGCCGCGTGGGGCGAGCCGGGAGCCGGGGAGGCCGAGGCACGCGCGCCGGCGCCCCAGCAGCCGCCGCCCCCGGACCTGCGGAGTCTGGGCTTCGGCCGGAGGGTGCGGCCCCCCCAGGAGCGCGCCCTGCTCGTCGTGTTCACCAGATCCCAGCGCAAGAACCTGTTCGCCGAGATGCGCGAACAGCTGGGCTCGGCCGAGGTCGCGGGCCCCGGCGGCGCCGGCGCCGAGGGGTCGTGGCCGCCGCCGTCGGGCGCCCCGGACGCCGGGCCGTGGCTGCCCTCGCCCGGCCGCCGGCGGCGGCGCACAGCCTTCGCCAGCCGCCACGGTAAGCGGCACGGCAAGAAGTCGAGGCTGCGCTGCAGCAAGAAGCCCCTGCACGTGAACTTCAAGGAGCTGGGCTGGGACGACTGGATTATCGCGCCCCTGGAGTACGAGGCGTACCACTGCGAAGGCGTGTGCGACTTCCCGCTGCGCTCGCACCTGGAGCCCACCAACCACGCCATCATCCAGACGCTGATGAACTCCATGGATCCCGGCTCCACCCCGCCCAGCTGCTGTGTGCCCACCAAATTGACTCCCATCAGCATCCTGTACATCGACGCGGGCAATAACGTGGTCTACAAGCAGTACGAGGACATGGTGGTGGAGTCCTGCGGCTGCAGGTAGCGGCGCCTTTCCTGCCGCCTTGGCCCCTGACGGCAGGGGAGGCCTGACTGCAGAGAGGCCGAGGAGCTGGCCTCGGAGGAGGCAGAGGGTGGGAGGAACAGCCTGGACGTGCAGCCGGGTGGGAGAGGAGGGAGCTCAGCCTTCCCAGAACCTTCCACCTGCCAGCCCCGAGGGAGATACGGATTTTCACACCTTGCCTGGCCACCCAGGAAAAACAAGCCAAGGAGGATTTCTTTAGTTGTTGTTTTTTCCTTTTTCTTTATTATTGTGGCTTTGGATTTCCTTGTGTGCCTCACAGGTTTTGATAGGAGGTGGGGGGCGGGGAGACGCAGACCTGGTGCTCAACCGCTCCATGGATTGAAAAATGTATAGTTTAAGAAGAGAAACAGTGTGGGAGGAAGAATCACCTTTGACCACGTCTTGGTTTGATTGTTTTCTACCCATGCAAAGAAGGTGGGGTTTTCTCCGGCCATGTCCTAGCCTGTGCCTTGTGACCTCCCGAGCAGAGAGTGTTCCAATAGAGGAATTAGCACGGAGAATAAGAAAGCCAGGAAGGGCCCTGCCTTTAGAAGAACTTGCTTGTATACCGGGCTCTGCCCTGGCCTCTGCCAGTACAGGGAGCCGGCAACTGGCATCTCACTCAAGGGGGCTCAGGTCGCTGCCTTTACTGTTGCTTTTTCTGGTCGGAGAAAGGGGAACTGGTATGGATGGAATGACAAGAATGAGCCCAAATGGAACCCCCTGAAGGATAATGAGAAACCACCAGGCCTGCCTCTGAGGGGGCTGACACTGAGGTGTATGAACCAGGCTGGAGGTAACCCAGGAAAGGCCCTTCTGTGGGGTCTGTTTCTAATTGATTTCTTTGAACAGAGTTTGCCAAAATTCAGACATCCCCTCTTAAGGGGAAGGTGATTTTCCAGTTAAACTAAAAGCGAGTAGGGGATGGGAAGCTATATAAGTAAGGTAAGAGGTGCGGAGAAGGGGGAGTGAGCCAAGAAGCAGAGGCTGAAGTCGGGAGGGGAGGTGGTGGGCCCCTCAGAAGGATGGGGACATAGGGGCCAGTCCAGAAGCAGGGAAGAGGGATTCCGGTCCCTGTGCCCAGAGATTTCTTTCACATCTATGTTCCCTCCCTTCTCTCTTAACATTCCTGAAAGATTACCTACCAGCCAGCAATAGCCCAGGGCTCCCCCAAAAGAATTGTTTCAGATTGTAATTACCAGTTAGGCAATGTTTTTAAAACTTAGTAATGAGAAACTGTGAAAAGAGCAAAGTGTTACATTGAGCTCGGGGGGTGGGAGATGGGGAAGGGACAGTGAGGAAGGAGGCAGGGGTGGGATTCATCTTCCGGAAGGAAGCAGGAGAGAGCAAAGCGCAATTTAAATACCCATTCCCAGATTGCCAAATGCATGGACTTTCCCCCAGCCTGCACCAGTATGATTTCCAAGCATTGCCAATGAGTAGAGTTAGTTTGCAGAGTTAGTTTCCTTCTCATCTTTGACCATGAAATGGTTTAAACAAGGGAACTTGTACCAACCATTTAAAAAGTTTTTGTTTTTCCTAAGCGGTTTTGCTCTCTCAATCTAAGCCTGTTACTTGTTTGGTTCAGAGAACTACAAACTGTCCAAGAAAGGGTGAGAATGATAATAAATGCTAATATAAAATGTCAAGTAAAAAAAAAAAAAAGACTTGGCCAGGAGAAATAATTTAAAATGCACATTTGCTTTGGATGCACTGTTGTTCTGTTAAGGCTGTATATATTTGTTTATTTAAGGTGACTGAAAGTGCAAAGAGGAAGTGGATAGCATGCAATTCATCTTAATGTACAAACGTTATATGCACTCAAATGTTATAATTTCTAATATTTTTAAAGTTTATATTCGAGTTGTACAAAGTTAAGCATTAATCAGATATTTCATTCTGTCCTAATGTTATCATTTTCTTAAATATTATTACAAAATTTTAAGTCTGTCTAATGGAGAGTTTTTTTAAACTGTCTACCTCACTATAATACAAGTATTTACAACACTAAAGTTACCAGAGGTCGATTTTATATTCAGAACATTTTTTACAGTATACGTTTCTTGGATGATATTCAATCTAATACTGTATTATTAAACTCATTTTCCCCCTTAATCACTCAGCCTGGTTTATATGGATCTATTTAGAAAAATCCTTTTCTCGAGGAACTACTGTCCATGGTATTTTGGTCCAGTATGGGACTGAATGTCTGAAAAGGCACTGATGATTTAAATGTCCATCCCTTAGAGCATTGCACTTTTTCTTCATAACTCTGCCATGAGTCTTCATGAAATTTGCACTCACCAGATTAAAGCCACATCCTTGTCAACTATTAGAACAGTGTTAATAAGCCTGTAACTCATTCCAGCATCTCAAGACCCCAAGTAAGAATCGGATTATTTTCTTGCTTTCTTTAATGTTGAAAAAAAGCTGTAAATCACTTAAGCCAAGCAAACTGTCGGTAACTCCTGTTTACGGGTATGGCATACCGCAAGCAGAAGGTAGGCACCGTTTCTGTCTTTGTTCCCTTGCTGTAATTAGGCTTGTACTTGCTGTACAAGTCTGAGCCCTCACTGTGTGTCAGGTACAATGAGGTGCATGCATTATTTCGTGTAAACCCCTCAGAAACTCCAAGATGTAGGTATTATTTTTATCCCCACTTCACAGATGAGGAAACTGAGGTGCGGAGAGTTTAAGTAACCTGTCGGTGGTCATCCAGCCAGGGCATGGTACTTAGATTTTAAACCTAGTTCTTTCAGACTCTAGAGCCTGAGGTGTTAACCACTGTGCAGTTCTCCCCCAACATCATCTACCTGCTCTCCCAACTGGTGCCGAAATGTTAGAGTGGGGAATTTGCAATTAGTCACAATTATGAGGGTTGGTGAGCTGTCACAGGGGCCACCAACATTGCTCACGGTTTTAGAATATGTGACTGCTGGGATGTGGGAAGCTGAATATGGGTACGGATTGCAAAGCTCAGTGAGTTCTTCGCTTAGGCTTGCCTCAGGAAACCCATCGTTTTAGGTCATTACTGGGCTTCTGTAGAGTCTCTGCAGCTTTCTGGAACTGCCTGGGTGTGGTTATGTGAGTTTGGGTTCTCAAAATAATGGTCAATTTACAAATAGGTTATGTTTCAATAGACTGGTTGTAAGTGGTCTGTGTAGAACTGAGAAACATTTTCCTATGGAAACAATGTTGGTTTGCATTTCCAGGTCATTTTGCGTAAGTTTTATTTACCCAAATGGAACTTTTTAATAAAGCAACTTTGACTTCTGGGTTTTGGGAATAGATAATCACCTGGGAAAGGAAAGAAAAAAGAGGCTCTTGCTCTTCTCTTTCCTGGGTCGAGGTAGTTTTTGAAACAGTTGAGAATTCTTTGCATTTTTCCATCACTCTTTCTATATCCCTCACCCAATTCCCCAGCCTCCCAACTGCCCCAGGGGACTCCCAGCCCTACACTGTAATATGTCCCCACTCCAGAGAGTTCCCTTTTCTGCATAAATATTTCCAGCCCCAAAGTTATTTTCCTCTCTTCCCTCCATCAGAAAGTTTATTCCTTCACTCAGATGGTAGAAGAAACACAATCTGATTAAATTACATGAAGATGTAAATATCTCCTAGCTCCTTAGCCTTGGAGACATTTGCATTTTAAGCAAAGAATCTTGGTTAACTCAGATTTCTTGTGAGTGATGTGAAAAACAACATGGAAGATTCAACACGCAAGCCACACACAATTTGGAGAGTTGAATGTGAGCTCCGCGCTAATGATACAGGGTGAGTGGAGAGTCTTGCCTGTGTGAGATTTTTGACGTCCCCTAGGGTATATTTTGAAGAGACTATTTATAGCTAACTTGTTTTAAAAATTAATATCCAATGTATTAAAGCAAAACATTTAATAGCTTAGTTTTGTTTTTTTTCTAAAGCTCTTAAGTTTAATGAATGTAGGCCCCGTAAAGAGTTTGTTTGCCCTTAATTTTGCTCGTTGCTGTGTTCTCAGCATCCAAAATAATGCCCAATACACAGCATACACTCAATAAATATGCTGAATGAGTAATTTTACAAATCCTATTTTGCTTGTTAATCTAATCATTTTAACAAGCACTTTGAAGGGAGCCTTAGACTTATGCCTCTTCACCTCAGGTTGAATGGATCAACCTCCCTTAATCAATTCTGGTTATAAACCTAGTTAATAAACTTCCTTTAAATATTGTACTGCTTTTATCAGTTTAATATATTCAATTTTCTTTTAAAGTCCTTCAGATTTCTCTAAGAGGAAAAACCTTCCTATGTAAACCACTCCAAGTAAAGCTAATAAATTAAACTTCTTAAGATGATGATTCTTAAGTTCTAGTAAGCATTTCAATACTGTTTATGTCATTTAGCTTAACATCCGGAATCTAAAATGAATTACTCAATCACACATTTAAGTTGATTTCAGAAGGCTAACCTGTTAGATACCTTAATAAACAACACTTCTTAAAGCTTACAAACGTTTTATATACAGATTGTCTCATTGATTAAGAAACCCTATTTTTGAACTTAGTACAACAGTGCTAATGATTTAGAATCAATTTACTTAATCTTTGTATTTACTCTGAAATTTCCTTGGGTTAAAAACACTAACCCACGGGCGCGTGGGTGGCTCAGTTGGTTAAGCGACTGCCTTCGGCTCAGGTCATGATCCTGGAGTCCCGGGATCGAGTCCCGCATTGGGCTCCCTGCTCGGCGGGGAGTCTGCTTCTCCCTCTGACCCTCCGCCTTCTCATGCTCTCTCTCTCTTAAATAAATAAAATCTTAAAAAAAACCAAAAAACAAAAACACTGACCCACTCCTGAAAATTATAGTGTCACACGCAAGGTGGCGAGAGCATTTCAGCAGACTGTGGCTGCCAATCTGCCAGAGGCTTCAGCTGAGAAAGGAGGTGGATTCTCCCTGGGACACTGACCACATGCCAACTCCCTTTTAACACTCACTGTAACACATGAACCCCAAACTCCTATATTTTATGAGTTGGTCTCTCTTGGTTTCAAGATAGGTCATTAACTCATTTTTCCTCCTGATTTGAGTAAATGGAATTCCACACTCATTAAGATTATAGCTTTCTTCCCTGATTAATTGGATTTCACATTTATTTAATGATCTTAGGACACATCTTTGTTTTCACCTTTGGCTTTAAAATTACCTTACTGCCAGGGCGCCTGGGTGGCTCAGTCAGCTAAACGTCCGACTCTTGGGTTTCGGCTCAGGTCATGATCTGAACGGTGTGAGATCGAGCCCTGAGTTGGTCTCCAGACTCAGCGCGGAGTCTGCTTGGGATTCTCTCTCTCCCTCTTCCTCTGCCCCTCCCCCTGCTCATGCTCTCTCTCTCTCTCTCTCTAAAATAAAATAAAATCTTAAAAAAATTAATAAAATTACTTTACTGCCACTTTACTGAATTATTCTGCCCTTACATAATTCTTTCATGACCTTTTCCAACTTTATTCTCAAACTCTGGTAATCAGAATTCTGTATTCTTTTTTCCTGTAATGTTCCTTTGTGGAAGAGCTACAGCTCTTAGAGATATTAAAATGGCGTCTGATGGAAGCTGCACATCCCTTGTTCTGGTCTAGTTCCGTGGTCACAGCACTAAAATCGTATGAATGAAAACACAGTCCCTATGCTTGAGGAGTTCACGGGAATTTTATTATTATTACTACTATTATCTTATGAGGTAATCTTTAGGAAAACTCTAGTTATTATCACTCTGCTTGACAGATGAGAAAACTGAGCCTGAGCCAGGGTCAGTCGCTTGCTTGAAAGGCCTTAGGACATAATCTGGTGGAATCCAGAGCACATTCTCATCTGCTCACTCATTTGGCAGGTAACTGCTAAGTTCCCATAGCATGGCAGGCATTGTGTGAGGCTCTAGGAAACTTTACACATCCAACTAGAGATACAGGAAGTTCCAAAACTGAGTTCCAGGAGTAAAGGCAGGCTGCTGTCTTTACCTATATTCTGCATTTTTATAGCTTATTCTTTTCCCTTCCAACTCACAAATTCCCTGAAAGCTTCCTCCGCCTTTCTCCATAACTGTCGAGGAAGCCGGGAGAATAGGATTCAGCTTTGAAGGATGGGGGAAACACTTACAGCCATGAGTTCTCTACCATCCAGATATTCAAAATTATTAAAGGCGTAATGCTAACCTTTCCAAGAAGGCCAAACTTATTAGGAACAAAATGTGTTTGATTTAAAAGGTTTAATGAATATTTGTTATGTATTGGTGTCATCTCTGACTAATGGCAGACTTCACCAGATGTAACAGAATGATCACAGGAGTGGAAATTAGAACCTCTTGATGCAACTTTGTTTTTGAACACTCATATTTCCAAGTGATTTTTCTTTTACTTCTATTGGGAGTCCTTAATCATGATAATGATTCAGTAGCAGGAATGTGAGACTAGTTAGTATCCTTTTTTTTTTTTTTTTTTTTACCGCAAACAGCTAGGAAACCAATAGTATGTGTCCAGGGAATTTTAAAACAAGTTTAACAGGATTATTTACCCTTGACCTGGGGCAATGACCAAATGGGGTGACATCTGTGATGCGATTTGGCCATCCGCAGCTCCATGTTTCGTTGTCCCTCTTCGGAACAGAGAGAATCTTGTGTCTCTGTCCAGAAGACCTGATGATTTCCTCGTGAATGCCAACTGACTTACACCAGCCAGTTGTGCCATAAACTTTTCTTTTTTAAAATTCTTGATTTGATCCTGACTTTGGATTTTTGTAAGTTCTCGGGAAATGATGGGCTCCGATTTGTTGGAAGAAAGGGGCAGTTGGACTACCAAATGTCTTCCCTCCTTTCCTTTGAAACTAATATAGTCATTTCCATAGGGTAGTATTTACCTAAGTTGAGATAGTCTTTAAAGTCTTGGAGTTTCAAATTTGAGACTTGCCTTATCTCCAGTTTTATACCTAAAATCTCCAGTGAGTTGAGCAAACCTGGAGATACTCAGCTTTTGAGTTATGTTAGTATTTTTGCCCTACTAGTGGTTGATGTTTATTGGCCACCCCTAGCATTCAAATCATGGTAGAAAATTTAAATTTATTCAAGACTCTTAGTTAGAGGG